AGACTTGTTTATTTTAAACTAGCTGACCCGCGCAACTTCGTCTGCGTCTCTCAATAGTAATAAATTTTCTCCGTTTTTGAAACATTCTTCATTGGTGCTCCGCTCCTATTGGACTTAGCGTGATGATATATAGCCTATAGCCTTCCTCGATAAATGGGCTATCTAACACTGAAAGATTTTTTTAAATCGGACCAGTAGTTCCTGAGATTAGCGCTCCAAACAAACAAACAAACAAACTCTTCAGCTTAATTATATTAGTATACATGTTGAATGTCACTCTAATACTTCTCCCGACACACCTCAACCGCCGTTTTGTGTTTTGACATCCCTAAAAACTGAATCCGCACCAATGACTCGTAACCTTCGTCCCAAGCACAACTATTATAAAGCTAACTACGATTTAATTCATAAAAAACTCTCTTGGGATGTGTTACTCAATGATATTTATTTATTTATTTATTATAGACACGCCAACAGTATACACATACAACATCCCTGCTAAAAGAATATCCCTGCTAAAAGATCGGCTGAGGTATTTTACGAGGTCTTTACAAAAGGATTCATGACTTGGGTGTCACCATTGACTCAAAACTACATCTAGATCTACATATAAACTATATTATTGGTAAATCTTTTCAAATGTATGGCTTTGTTATGAGATCTTCCAAAGATATCAAGCGCCCGTCTACTTTACTACTCTTTTATAATTTCTCAACTAGATCTCAACTACATTTTGCGATTCCAATTTGGGATCTTATTTATGACAAGTATGTAACCCGACTTGAGATGGTTTCTAAAAAAGTTTTTGAGAACCATACACTACAAATTTTACCACTCTAAATAATCCTATCAAGATCTTCTTGTAGAATATAGCTCATTAAGCCTGGAGTCTAGACGAAAAGTTCTGATGTGTATGAGGTTACATGGTATATGCAAAAGGTTTAGTTAATCCACTTCAACACCTTTCCTTCTAAGTGGAAGGCTTCCTTCCACTTTTTTTCAAATTAGACTTAATCTTTCTCTATAAAATTATGAACGGAATTGTAGATTGTGGTAGTATTTTGAGTAGCTTACGTATTAGGGTACCCAACCATATTCCAAAAAAAAAAGTATGTAGCTTTTTTGACATTGCAACCTCTAAAACAAATCTTGGTCATTACGCCACTGTGCTAAGGCTCTGTAGGCAATATAGTACTCTGTCAAAGACTCATAATATCGACATCTGCGAGTCTTTTTCTTTGAATTGAAGGAGTACACATACCAATACCCGTGTGAAATGTATTTTTGATATTGTGTGTACATGCTTTGTTGGTGATCCTTAAATAAATAAATAAATGAGTTAGATTGCAGCGGCATCCCTAATCAGTTGTGTTATGTGGTGCTTAGAACTGTATAGAGGCGCAGGGTGCACGCGCACCTCGGCTGTTCCACCCTGGTAAATGCAGAACCAATGCCGGTGTACGGGCTCCTCTCCGACACATTGTGGAAACGTACAACACACATCTTGCCAATGTTGACATTTTCGCACAGAAACAGTTAGTTTTTCAAACAGAATTCATTTCATTCATTCATTAGGCTTATGGTGACTTTCATAATCTATATAATATATATATATATATATAATACGCAATGTAATGGACATTGGTGTGGGTGCATGTTCACTATTATTATTTACTCTAATTTTGAACAACGCGTGACTGTGTAATGCCGCATTAAAAAAAAATTAGAACTCACGGTGCCCTGTGAAATGAACATCCCTAAAGACCACGCTTTAAAAAATACAAGTACTTTGACTTAACCAACGACTTAACTAAAAAAGGTTATTTCGTCGCATTGTATGCCGTTGAAGTAGGGTATACCAGCTAAATCCCTCCATAACCTGCTTAAGAACCTTGGATTGCCAAGAGTTTCAGTAAGCTAAAACCTTCAAACCTTCAAGAAAAGAGCGTACTCCTTCCTAAAAGGCCGGCGTCGCATTTGCGAACCGTCTGCTCGATCATAAAAAAAGCTCTTTTTTTTGCACGTATATCCAAAGCGGCATTGCTAGGCTCGAAGTCGATAAAATTCGTAACGAAGTTATTCGACAGAAAACTAAAGTAACCGACATCGCATGGAGAATCAGTACGCTAAAGTGAAAGTGAGCCGGTCATGTCTCCAGACGGACTGATGGTCGCTTGAGCCAACATGTGGTAGAGAGGAGGCCGCGATTAGCGAAATGCCCAAGACCGAGATTGTTTGAGCTCCTTAAGGGAGGCCTTCGGTCAGCAGTGGACGGAAATAGGCTGAAAAAGAATTCCTACATAATTTTTAAACTCTAAATCACCTTGATTACATCATGTATTCTAGTTAGCAGTGCCTTGCAAGATGCCAATTCAGTTTAAAACCACCCGAATTCATGTCCCTAATTTGTAAAACAACTTAGTAACTAAATAGGAAATGCCTGAGTCCACAACAGATCTTCATCCAATTTGCTTGAGAACCAAAAATAAGTAGCCTTGTAATACATGCCAGTTAAGGCTCGTTAAATTTTAAACATCAATTATTTTCTGTATTTTTTCATAAGCTTCAAAAGGCTCTGTATCAGTAAAATTGAAAAAAAATGTTATTACATTGTTAGACTTACAACCAACAGGATGCGGTAATTTATTTGGCGTTAAATGCGTTGTAACTTGTGATTAAAATACATAATTATGTGTATACACATTCCAAAAGTATATAGAAAAGAAATTTCTAGAATTCTAAAAGACATTAATAATAATAATAACAATATTTATTCACAAATTTGTATTATTCACTGCACATTAAACTATTTTATGTTTCGAGTCTTTTAAAATATTTTTTTAAGATTAAATTTGGACAGACAGCATCTGTCCTATGTCCTATTAAATGATATCTATAATTTACCAGATCCGGACATACATTTATTTTCTTGCTTTAACTCGCCCTTAATCACCTTAATCTTTAAAATTCGAGTTACATCTGAGGATATCAAAAAAATATTGTTTTCATTATTGTAAAAGATTATTATTGGTGATTTTAATTGCTCAGTTTTTATCGTTATCATATTATTAACCCCATCTAAGGCACCCTTTTACCGTAGTAATAAGCTTATTTTTTTCTATTCCTGAAGATGGATGATACAGGTCTAAATGTTTGTCTACGTAAGCGTTCTATCATTTCTCTATCGCGTTTCTTTCTGAAGTGTCTTGTGGCCAAAGGTGACTCAAGTGTTAAAAGATTTTACCAGTCGTCAACTGATAATATCTTATAACATTTGCCGCGATACAAGCCACGAGCTTAGTGCGGAAACCGCTGTTAGTACCAAATTTTTGTAAATTGTTTAATTGTAAAATGTATTAATAAATATCTTTGTCACCACTGGGAAATATGGGAATTTCTTTCCCATTTGTCACCAGTGGGAACGAAGCCATTGGCTACGGGGGCAAAATTGGGATTCTTTTTCCTATTTGTCACCAGTGGGAACGAAGCCATTGGCTACGGGGGCAAAATTGGGATTCTTTTTCCTATTTGTCATCAGTGGGAATAGAGGCAATGGTGACGACTGCTAATAATCAGCATAATCTATCCTATCTAGTACCCGTGACTTCGTTCGCTTGGAATTTTAAAAGCACTGGTTTAGTGGCTTCGATTCCCGGACCGGGCAACATTGTACGGTTTATTTTTGAAAAAAATAATTGCCTAAGTTACTCCTTATATAGACAGCTACCCACAGTCTAGACGTTTAGAAGATAAGCTGAAACAAACAGACAGACAGGCAAAACAAAAACAACTGGTTTTTAGGCATAGGTATCATGTGATCAGACTATATATATATGTATGTGTGTGTGATATATATATATATGTGTGTGTGTGTGTGTAAATAACCCTCTGCGCATGAAAAAAAAACTATTATTTTACAAACAGACACTTCAATAGTATTTATTTGTATATATTTAAATGTGACTAATCGTATTCTTGTGTTTAAATGTTTGAATATCCGATTTTTGGTGTACTGGTTTGACTTGTTTGTGCTCTGCTAGTTACGACTGAACATTAAATAAAATGAAAGGTAAAAAAACTCGTTTAAGATGCAAATTTATTGTTTTTATGTGAATAATCTCACTTCATAGTTCTGGACTACTGGCCACTAATTTATATAATTATATATTACATAATAATTACCTGTACTGATAATATCAGTTGAACAAAATGCGGGATTGAAAATATTTATTAATGGTAAAGTGATATCTTTATCATTACAAAAGCTACTAAAATCAGTCTCAATCACCGTTCAGTTTGTGTCAGATTCTTTTACTCATATTTCCAGATAAAGATTTAGACGTGTTCCAAATACAGTGTTATAAAATACACTTTTGTGTAAACGAGTTGGAATACAAATGACAGCACAGTGCACTGATCTACTGAATCTAACCGTTTATTATCCTTACGAAACAGACCTTCAAGAAAAGAGCGTACTCCTTCCTAAAAGGCCGGCAACGCGTTTGTGACTCCTGAGTTGCAGACGTTCATGGGCGGCGATAGTCACTTTTGGTGAGGTGACCCGTCTGCTCGTCTACCCCCTCTAACATAAAAAAAAACATACAGCTCAACCTCAACATAGAAATTCCTTATGCTTACATACTTAAATTTCCAAACAATCATAACGCGATCTATGTAAGTGGCACGACATCTAGTCACAAAAACTAGAAGTGTTTTTTTATGTTCGAGTTTGGTCATGAACATATTTTATTTTACGAAAAAAACATGATTGCAATAATATCAACGAAAGGTATGATTACATCTCATGAATCACGTCATGACCTACCAGACTTCCGTAAACTTCCTTCCAGACTGTATCTACCAGACTTCCGTAAAGTTCCTTCGTCCTTGCAAACTAACCCGCAGATAATTTCCATGCTATCGTTGTTAAAACCAAGCAAATGTGTTACAGAATTGTTTCTTGGTTTGGTTTCGTATCTCAATAAGTGCGCACGTCTAAAATGTTGCTTATATATTTGGTCGGTTTGTTTTGCGGTGTGAACAGCGCGTTATTTTATGACTCTTATACAGGAACAGAGATTACGAGGGAAGATGTGAAAAAGCACGATAAAGCAAATACAACATTGTAAGTTTTTTTTTGTATTTTTGTATATGAGACATATATGTATATAATTTTAAGCTGAAGCTTTCAAGTTTAATATAAGAACTTAAAAAACTAAAATATCGTATAAATTTTAGATTATTTGTACACTAGAACTAAGCATATATAAATTTTTAAAATACCTACATACATCTAAGTACTCGTACTTATTATTGGAGTACTGTATACAGAAACAAAAAACCTTATTTTTTTAAATACATTTGCTAATAAAATATTTATTAAGGTAAAATTACATGCATTTGTGAAAAAGAAACCATTTTTATTTATTTAAAAATTGCAATTTTATCTATATTTTGCTGACCGAAATTTACTATTATTTATGTTTTCATTGCGATATATAATTATTTCAACAAAATTACGGAATTGAAAAATATTGTACGATTATATATAAATTTTATTAAAAATAGATCACATATTTGTAATCTTCTTTAATCTTAAATATTTATTTGGGGACCTTTTTTTGTAGATACCCGAAATTTAGACAGATACACGGACAGATGAATTTGAACGATCATTTGTTTAGTGTCAGGGTGTGTTTTTTCTATAATATGTGGACATTTAGAAATATTTAAGTATGTTTATCAGCAGACTAGTTACATTGTACAGGGTCTGTCTAGTGTAACACATTTCAATATTGAACTGCCTTTTGTAGTTGGTGCGTGAATGAGATCGAACCATGCAACCCTACAGAAGGACGGCGGGTCGATGGTTCCTGCAATAACCTAAAGCATCCCACAAGAGGAGCTATGCACACACCCTTTATAAGGCTTCTTCCAGCTACTTTTGACAAAAGTAAGTCACATCATCATCGTCTTTCTGATCCCGTTATACCCGACTGCTTCGTGTGATTTCATATGCTAACAATTTCAATATTGTTTTCTGTGTTTTTGTGCGACTAGTTCCTGGTTTACGGGCGGCTTAAGGTTGTGTATAGTGTTTTTAAAGAACATCAGTAAGTTTCTACTGTTTTTGCTATTGGTAAGTCAATTTATTTTCTTTCTAAAAGTGGGTAGGAGGTATCCTTTGTTTGTATTGATTTTTCTTTGAGTGTTTGTTTATTTTTAGTTTGCTCTTTTTTAAATTGTTCTTTTGGTGTGTCTTTGTTTGGCTATATCGGTTGTTACCGAGTTGCCGGATCCCGGCGGTACAAGTGAATTTCTAACACCAACCGGCAAAAGGTTATTTACTGAAATTTAGTCACCTACGGATTTCTCGCCGAAAGATAGTAGATGTAAACGCATTAATACTTCGGATTTAAGTGGGAATGTTTTGTCTCGGTCGTGATAGCTGTGGGGAGTATAATTACTGCAAGTTAGTGTCAAAGGCTACCGATTTTTTAGCAAATATTAACGAATTGGTTAATGATCACGGATCACGTATGAATGTAGGTAATAAAACGGCGGTTATTGACATTCGTATCCTTGTTAGCAATAAAATCCTATAGCAATAAAACGAATTTAGCGAATTTTGAGTGTCAAATGACGCAACTCAACAAACGAGTTCAACGTACGCGGACAAACTTAAGCTTCGCTTCAAAAGCCCTGTGTTATTGCATATCCCACTAGGGAACGCTCAGCAGACTATGCGACCTTGTCAGCAACCAAACAAGCTCTCATGAAGAGTATTAAAATGGGTTGCACTCCGGGAGTACCGGCAGAAGTGAAAACTTGAATATTAACGTTGTGCATTTTTTATATTTTGGAATGGTTAGGGAATAATATTGCACGAATTGCTTTAATTATCAGTATAAAAGTACTATCATTTATGTGGTAGAATACAATATTTATTTATTGCGCTATCGTACACAAACATGACAATTTATATTACATTAAAAAGTTTATCTCACAGGAAAACGAAACGAAAAGAAACGAAACACTAGAAGTCGTATAGACGTGTGTTGACGAACACCACTTACAGAAATTAAAGCTTATGCTTTTATTAGTTAAATTACACGTCCCTGATGCGTTTTCACAACCCATTATGCTGCAGTTCACTATTTTAACAATATAAATTCATATGCGACCCTACGCGCAACTAAATTACGAATGCTGTGAATTTCTGTAAGTGGTGTTCGTCAACACACGTCTATACGACTTCTAGCATCTTATTATTACATTTCATCAGTAAGTTGATTTTTTACTAATTAATCGTTGTTTTTACGAATTTACATCTCGAGAAATACTTTAATAAAATATTTGCTTCATTTATTACTTTCCGTTTGTACAATTACCGTTGCTGCTTTTGTTCTTACTGCACGCGATGTTGATAAACTTGCCAAGCAATGTAATGTGAATTTAGATATCGTTCTACAATGCGTATGTTTATAATACGGCTGCAGGCATCGGGCGCCAGTTAGTGATGTAATGAATGGTATATTCATTTCAATGAAAGTACAGTTTACATCGAAGTTAGTATAAAGGGATATTTTTCAGATTTTCGAAGGTAAACAAACAAACTAAAAGATATGTACAGTGAAATTAGTCTCGAGAAATTTTTGCATATGTAGTGGTGTGTATATTACTCAGATCTTAGAGCGCGTTTCCACTATATCGTTCTGGCCTATACAAAAATGTTTCGATATCCTAACATTACTATTTAATTTTATACTTATCCCTAGCAACACTCTGATTTTTGTTTTCAATAAAAACAAGTTTTTATTTTAAAGAAAAAGGTTTTGACTTTATAAAAAAAAAGGTGTGTGTGCGATTCACACACGATAGAAGTGAAACTTCAAAGAGGAGAGACCGATATTTAATTTTTTTTTTTTGTTTCCTTTCATCTAGGTTTTTAAAACTCCGGGGGGTCTACGGGGGGGTCAAAATTTTTGTTATTTTTGGCCTAGGACGCACCGTTTCCGAGATATTTCAATCTAAAGCAAAAAATCGTCACTTGATAGTGGAAAGTGGAAACACGCACAAAACCAGAATAAACCAGTTTACGCTGTCCGCCGGTGCCACGTGACCATACACTACTACAAACGCAAAAATTTCTCCAAGCTGATTTACCTGTACACGTAAAATATTCTTAATATTAATTATACAATAATTTTACTAGGAATTCAATTATTTGTTTAAGTTTGCGTAAATAAATATTATTATTATTATTTATTATCACATAATGATAATTAATTTCTAGATTCCCGAAAAATCTTGATGTTAAAGAAAAAGAGATGAATATTACTGGTAGACAGGACTGATGCCCTACAGAAAATAGTCGAATATATTCAGTTCATTTTTTTTCAATTAATTTATGTTCATTAGAATTTTTTTTTATTGTTTTTTATTGTTCTGGATTAATAAAGTATTTGGCTGTTAATGGATACTTGATATTAATGATCCTTGGTTCTTACTGTTCAAATATTTATATTGTTATATATCTGTGTTCTGTTAAGTATCTATCTAATTATTTATATCAATGGTTTTCTTTACTACTTGTGACCCATTTTAATATATAAATAAATATAAACAAACTCGAAAAATTTTGTCCATCCCTAGCATTGTTTACAGGGATTCTCACACATCGAAAGAAATTGTTGTGGTGTCATATAATACATTGGAGTAAAATGCAATGTAATTCCTGGAGACTAATGTTCATAAAAGTTTGTGTCTTATACGTTTCACCTTTGTTTTGCAAGTGTGTGCGAGTATTACATCTATTCGTTTGTATTTTGTGTATGTGTTAAGATGTGGCGACATCGGTTTTAGAAGTAATTGAGAGCTAATATATTTCTAGTGTCTTATTATTATGATTTGCGTGGTCTGCAAAGACTTGCAAATTAAACTCTGCAAATTAAAATCATATACTCACGTCTACGGCGGACTTCGGACTAAAGCTGTAAAATAATCAAACATAAAAAACGGCTCGTATACGGCCGCTTACGCAAAAAACGCATATTTGGACACTCAAGGGAATCAAAATTTATAGGGTATTTTCTGTTGACCTAGAACTATGAAATTTGGCAAGTAATAGCCTCTTATACCCTTGTAGTATAAGAGGGTATTACTTGCACAATTATAGGAAAAAATCTAAAAACTATACATTGCTAATTAAATCCTGTAAATGTACCTACGTAATTGTATGTGTATTATGTAATTTGTACGGAACTTTTACGTAAATATACCTGTGATTGTTTCTGTTTACTAAAAGTTTTACCTTTTTTCAGACTTCGAACCAAGAAAATCATCATCTGGCAAAGACCTGCCTCTCGCTCGATACCTCAGGACTCGCCTCATATCAGTGGGCAAAGTTCCAAGCACAATCTTCACGATGCTGGCTGTGCACTACTTTGTATTCATGTCTGCTGACGTCGTCTCCTTGCATGACACTGGTAGACAATCTATTCATGTGCGTTCCTAACAAGATACCTGAAGATGATCCTGTCCATAGGTTCTCCGGTATCCGTTGCTTAAACATGACTAGACCGGAGTCATTCCAGAGTATTGGATGTGTAAAGAATGACACAATACCTGAGAGGGTAAGTTTCTGGTGGACTTTTCTTACAGTGTAGGAGGGCAAATGGGAACATACGGGTCACCTGATTTTAAATGATTACACTAGGGCATTTTTTCTTGAAATATATAAGCAAGTTAGACTGTCCTGATATCGTTTGCAATATTAAACTTAAACCCAGAAATATGCGTTCCAGTAATCTACTCTACGTTCCATTTTACTACACTAATTATCGGTATAAAAGGTACCTAACAAGAGTTTCCAGGTCGTTTAACAAACTAAACCATAATGAACTCATTGATCGATTTTGCAGTAGCACAAAAATTACTAAAATGTTATGTCTTTAGATCCAAATTGTTGTCATAATCCATGTATATTTTAATCTATTTAGCATGTATTATTTTAGATATCAGAACTGTCTTTTTTCTACATGTGGAAGCTTGTTAATGACACTTAGAAAATGTATGTCTTGTGTATTTTTAAATTTAGCCGTTTGCTCCCCAATAAAAATATTTTGTGTACTTTATTATTTACTCTAAATAAAGATCAGTAAGTCTTATATTTGCTCATGATGATCATTTACATTCATTTTGTATCGGTGTGGTGATGGATGAAGAATACGTAGTGTCAACGCCCCTATTCATTCCGTGCGTGTCCTAAGAGCCGACTAAGGAAGCAAACACACTGCAAAGAGAAGGAGAACTTGAAACAAGGCCTATACCAACACGTATGGCCAGCGTGGTATAGTAGGCCAAAACCTTCTAGAAAGGATTCTGTGTCCAACAGTGGACTATTATAAGCTGTTGATGATAATGATTATACATTTCATGTTATGATTAATCAGTATTTTATCTATTGTTATATCCCATTACAAGTAACCATTCTTTTCAGATAATCTCATCAACTCCTCTACTAGATTTGTCTGCGATATATGGCAACCTACTACCTCCTTTGCTACAAAAAGGTCGCCTATTCACAGGAGGTCTGGTAAAAACTGAGATTCAAGAAGGAAGGATATGGCCTCCAAGTTATAAGACTCAAGCGAATGTGTGCTACTTAAACCAGAGACCTAAAGAAACCAGATGTCATGAAATGCGTACGTTGCAAAATCATTTTTGTCTCCAACGTAATAGAAGAACGTACAGCCTGTTGATCTAGTGGATAGTGACTTTACTACTGAACCAGATGTTGTGGGTTAGTTTCCCATGTGTCTGTATATTTTCTATAACATGTATGTATTTAGAAATATAAGTATGTCATGTTCATATGTATGTCACATATCCCACACACGGCCGTCTGATCCCAAAGCAGGCAGGGCGTTAAATACTGAACATACTTATATAATTCTTCACATCACATCACATCAGCAGCCTTTAATAGTCCATTCTTAGACATAGGCCTCTCCTTAGGTCTTCTTTACCACGCTTGCAAAGCGGTTTGGCATAGGGTTTCCATCAAGTTTTCCTTCTCTATGCAGTACTGTTGTCCTGCGTAGTTTGCTCTCTTAGTCTGCTCTTATGAAACCCACCCTATGAATAGGGGTGGTGTACACATATTACACTAAAGGGTTTGTGTCAAGTTTTCCTTCTCTCTGCAGTGCTGTTGTCCACTTATCCATTAACCAATCATTAACCACTAGACCAACTGACTTGTCAAATACCAGGTACACTATTAATTGTTTCTTAATTTTTCAGCTGAGGATGGTTCGAACACACTAGGAGGAGTCAATTTGGTATCAATATGGTTCTGGAGGTATCATAACTTTATTGCCAAAGAACTAGCCAAGGTCAACCCCTGCTGGGATGATGATAAACTGTTTGAGACAGCAAGAGACATAAACATTGCAGTATCGCTACAAATTTATTACTATGAGTTATTGCCGGTGTTCTTTGGTGAGTTTTTTTCAAGATTCCGTTTAATTCATATTTGGGAAACTAGTCTAAGGCCTTATCGTCGTTTGTCGAAATATTAAAGTAATATTTGGGTAAAATTATAAAAATTTAAACGAAAAAAGAAATCAAACTTGATTAATTTTGTTAAACTGTTTTTATAACATAATACTAGAAATGTGGTTCAAACATCGCCATTGTTCTTTGTATTTATTCCGTGTATAGTCCATTCGCCCTAAGAAAATAGTGACGCATAGATCAAGCTTCGACACCTGACCAATCCAGTTCCAAGCTTTCGTACGAAACGAAAATTTCTTGGAACCTGATTCGACAGGGATCGACAGACGTCGTGTTCTCTACGAAACTTAAATTTACACTGTCAATACGCTTACTTGTTGTAAGATAATGTAAATATATATAATATATATATTTATTTTAATTTTATATATATATATTCAATTTACCTCCTTCCTAAGGAGAGGCCTATGTTCAGCAGTGGACTAGTAAAGGCTGTTGATGATGATGATGATATAATTTAAATATTTCAGTAAAGTTATTACGGAATAGGCAGGGTAGGGCTATTCTGTGACATTTTTTTAACACTGTAATATCATTTTTAAGTAACGAAAAAATTATAAAGCTTGCGTGTTGTTATTTTAAAATTCTTACATTTTATATCACATCAAATGCCTTTATAACTATTTTAGCACTTGCAGGAAATGTTGTATGTAAAAACTACCTTTTTTTATTCTATACATGAATTTGTAGAGACGCCATTGCTGCAGTGCTAAACTATTCAATATTTTTCATCTCACTCTTAATGTTACTATAAATGCGAAAGTCTGGATCGATATTTGTTTTGCCATCACTCCACAACAGCTAAACATATGCTAATGAAATTTGTGAAATGGATAGATAGTCTATTGATCGTGTAAATCGAAATTAATGACTGCAAAGCTTCAGGTATAAACTAATCAATGAATATGTTTTTAACTGCTTGATTTTATTACCTTCGTATTTTCTAGGTTTTGACAATATGGCTGAAGACGGCGTGATCGGTCGCATCGGTGGATTCAGGGACATGTACGATGAGAACATACCACCACAATTGTCCCTGGAATATCCGTTTGCATTAAGATGGTTGCATAATATCCAAGATGGTACTTTAAAGTAAGTATTTTTAATTAATTAATATTTTCGTCAGTTTTTGTACAGTTGCGTGTAGATATAACGATTAGTGATTCTGACTGACAGGACAAACATATTTTTCTTTTTTCCACGATTACACAACGCCAACTAGTCCCAAACTACTCAGAGTTTGTACTATGGGTATGGGTACTAGACAACTGATATAAATACATTTTTACTTTTTTTGTAAATTCATACATATCCTATACAAATAAATAAAATTGGAGTGTCTGTTTGTAATATTAAAATAACCGCTTTTTACTAAATGCATATTTATGTTTACACGGTACATATGCCAAAATAACATTTTTTACAATTTTTGTCTGTCTGTCTGTTTGTTCCGGGTAATCTCTGGAACGGCTGGACCGATTTCGACGGGACTTTCACTGGCAGATAGCTGATGACATAAGGAGTAACTTAGGCTACTTTTTTTAGACTAGCTTCGCCCCGCGGCGTTGCCCGCGGTTATAACAACAAACGCGGGTAACACCGCGGGTCTCAGCTAGTTATACATAGAAACGCCCAGACCAAATAAAACATTAAAGGTTTAATGCACACGAATGGTTGACTTGAGCGGGAATCGAACCCTTTGAAATACAGTCCGTTACACAAACAACTATGCCATCCGGTCGTCAACATTGTGAGATGAACAATATAATTAGGTTTGCGTCTGGGTGTAACCTTTATACATATAATTTTTCTGTGCGTGTGTATGTGACTGAACTCCTGCTAGTGGACCGATTTTGGTGTTTTTTTTCGTGTGTGTTTTAGTTGATTAGGGAATGGTTTAGATTAAATCTAATTCCATTTCCATTCGTTCAAATTCCATACAATACAAAATGTTCTTTTTAGTGTAAGACGTGTGTATAAGACAAAGTCTGTCGGGCCCGCTAGTTTATCTATAGTATGTATTAGAAATATATAAATACGTCTATTTAGAAATATATGTATCTGGTTGACGGCAATAGGCTAAGTCCCTATTGCGTAAGTGGGACTAAAATCATAGTCAACAACTGAGACTGCAGATAGTCAGTGGTGTTTTGTTTTATAAGTACCAGACTGTCCAATCGAACAGAACGTTCGTAGGTTCGAATGTTGGGTTGTGTTTGCTTCAATGATTCAAAAACTTCTGCACCGATTGTATTCAAAGATTAATTCGATATACCTACAAGCCGCTTAAAATTTTGTTTTTATTTATCAATTTTTTCCTTTGTTTCTATTTCAAATATATATTTAAAATTCTACATAAAGGATTTTCCAACAAGAGGTGTTATTTTGAATCACCCGGTATTTCGGTAGCTGTCACTTTTGAAGCTTTTATTTTTTGACATTTGACAAGTAGAAACTACGCCATTACTAAAAATGAAACGATACACACTTCAACATCGCATTGAAATTATTAAAATTCACTACAAAAATGGTGAAAATCGTGCAGTCACAGTTCGCAAAACTAAAGCATTTTTTGGTCGTCGTGAAGCACCTTTTCGGGCCGCAATACAGAAATTGCTGGAAATATTCGAGCTGTTGGGACAAGTTAGTGATGTGATGAATAAAACCCGTGCACGTCGCTCAAGAACAACTGAGAATATTGCTGCTGTAGCCCAAAGTGTTGAAGAAAACGCAGGTTTGTCCATTCCTCGTCGTTCTTTGGAATTGGGCATTCCACAAACGTCATTACACCGTATTTTGCATAAAGACTTGGATCTTAAGGCTTATAAAGTTCAGTTAACACAAGAACTCAAGCCGGCCGATCATCAACAACGTCGCGTCTTTGCTGATTGGGTACTTGAAATGCATGAAAATGATCCGGAATTCCATCGAAAAATCATCTTGACTGATGAGGCCCATTTCCACCTAGGAGGCTACGTCAACAAGCAAAATTGTCGCATCTGGGGCTCGGAAAACCCAAGAGTTATTGTTGAGAAGCCCCTCCATCCTCAACGTGTGACTGTTTGGTGCGGTTTATGGTCCGGCGGGGTGATTGGACCTTACTTTTTCGAAAATGAGGTTGGATCAACACTTACGGTGAATGGATTGCGCTATTGAGATATGATTAATGATTTTTTATGGCCGGAGTTGGATGGCATTGATCTGGACAACGTTTACTTTCAACAAGACGGCGCTCCGTGCCACACAAGCAACGGAAAGTAAGTGTGAAATGGAATATTTATTAATAATAACTAAAATGTTTTATAACGAACTAGAAGAATTACACTGTTTATTTTTTTTCTCTTGCAGATGATAGAGTTTTAGAAGATAACGAAAGTTCCCAAGAAGATGATATGAATGACACTGACAAAGGCAGCGACGATGATGATGATGATTATGAAGATGTCTCTTTTTTTTGTGACGTCAATATAGGCTGAAACAACTCGAAAAACTTAATATTAATTATTTATAATTTACATTTAGTAATCAGAACAATTTAAATAAAAAGTGTTGTTTTTTAAATTTTAATCTAATTTTATATTCCTATTTATGCTTAATTTTTTTTTGAAACTTGCTCTGACTAGAATGATGATTATTATTATTCTTATTATTATTATTTTTATTATATGCTCAGTGGAAAGTAATTTACTTTCGTTATGGTTCTCTGTATCATTCTCGACTTATTCTGCAACTATCTCTCTCGGACTACTAGCATTATACTGCAATACTTTTCATGACTTTTTAATTTTAATTCAAGACTTAACAATCGAATTAATGTCTGGCAAATTTATTTTAAGTTTTTCTTATCTTTAAATAACATAATATTAAAATTACAGACATTATAAAATACTTTGAATTTTTTATAAAACAAAAAGAAAAAATCGCGTATGGCACATAGTTAGCATTGTCAAAAATGTCTGGCAATAAAAAAAGTATGTCAGGTAGACTTATTTAAAAACAAAAAATTAAAAATTACGCCTTCTAAAATGTTTTTAAAATACAGGATTATTACCTGGACAGGTAGGATGCGCACTAATGAACGCAACCGCTACCGCCAGCCAGATCGCCCAGAGTCTAACTGAAAGTGCAAGAAGGACGACATATCACAAAATCAGCTGTCCTAAAATTCTTACTTTCCAAACGTTGCTAGCTCCCGTACTATAATGATATTTTCAATATTTAAGTTCAGTTTAAAACAAAAAATGGCTGTGATGGAGCGACGTAGTCATCATTGTGGCTAAGCTCCGTAAATAAAGAAAAAAAAAAATCTAATTTGCAATGTGTTCAACAAATGGAACACATTGCAGTCTATTAAACCTTGACATCCAAACATGTTAACAATACCGTAGTTGTAAAACAAGGAAACAAAAACTACAAACACGCGTATGTTCAAATTAGCATTAATTTATAAAGTCTAATTATAAATTATTTAATTCATCATCATCAGTCTATAACAACAATTAAATTATTTATATACTACTATAATTATAATTTTAATATAGTTATATTAATATAATAATTTAATAATATAATAATTATAATTTTCATATAACGTTATATACTTATAAATGTAATTTTCGTGTGGTGACGGATTAAGAATACGAAGTGTCATTCATCCCGTTGGTAACTATTAAATAGAAGAGAAGAAGACTATTAAATAAGTACATAACAATATATTAAAATTATAATTATATTTACAAGAACAATATCAGAGCGCTCGCTTGCATCGTAATGTATTACAGCTTGACTGCCGTTCGTAGGCTGGGATATATGTTTGCAAGTTCTAATTTTAAGGTAACATCTTTCGTAATCTTATGACGTCACACTGCTCCGTTGCTGAGATCTCATCCTCTACCTGTAAGGTTTACGTAGTGAGCTGCTATTTTCAATATTCACATCCTATTGATCCTCACTTACATCACTTACGTTACGTCTTGCAGTTCCTCGTGGGACATAAAATTATCATTGGCGCTGATATCAATGCGTCATCTTCATTATGGTATGGCAAGTTGCGTTCAACCGACACGGTTCGACGTTGTGCAGTTGAAGATTTCATTGCGGAAATGAATCTTATTATTCACAATACCCCCGATGCACCACCAACTTTTTGCAACCCGATGGGTGAGTCTTCTATTGACGTGACGCTTACGCGCGGCGACGTCTCGATATCCGGATGGCGTGTCCTTCCGGACGCATCCAATAGTGATCACCGCTTGATCGTGTACGAATTTATACCAAGGGTTGCACAGGATCCACAAAGTGCTCCCTATAATTTTAGATATAAAACTAAAGGTGCGAACTGGGCTTTGTTTGGTTCACTCTTTGCAACTCATACCAAAGACTTCAGTCGCACTAGTTTATCAGCTGAGGAAAGAGCAGAAATACTATCAGAAACTTTTACATACTGCACTGATGTAACTATTGGTCACGGATCTATCACTAACACTCGTAGATGTGATTGGTGGAATGATAGATTAGCCGAACTACGTAGAAGCTACCGGAAAGCTCGTAGAAAATTAAACACTATTAAAAAACATAACGTAACAGGAGATTTGTACAATAATGCTCTCATTGCTCTTAGAGTTGCCAGGTCCCACTACAGAGCTGCTGTGGAAAAATCCAAGGGAAACTTAATTCAGAAACTTGTTGATAAACTCGATAGAGAGGGCTCGTGGTCACCTTTGTATCACGAATTTAAGGCAAATAGATCAATCGACCTTGCATACATACAGAACATCAAAATTAATAACAGATATACCACAGGAGTAGAACAAACAGCAGAATATCTTTTAGACTCATTCGTACCTGACGATCGGCCGGAAAACGACACTGATCATCACCGACAGATCAAGCAGTGGGCCATCGAACCACCACTGTCTCCAATGTCTGATTTACCATCTTCAGACCAATTCCTCGGTATCATTAGATCCTTGCCGCTAAACAAGGCTTTGGGCGATGATAAAATATCTAACAAAATGATAAAAGAAGCTTGTAAACTTTGGGGTGACACGATTTTCACTGTCTTTACACGTTGCATTGCTGAAGGAATATTTCCTCGTATATGGCGGTGCGGTAATATTCGTATAATACCAAAAAGTGGCGACAAGCCACCGGATGATCCTAAATCCTACCAACCAATCACATTGTTACCATCGTTAGGAAAGCTTTTAGAACGTTTTGTAGTGCCCCGGCTTCTGCCAGGTGGAGTCAAATTTCATAATAGACAATTTGGATTTACGTTAGGTAAATCGACAACTGACGCTGTTATATCAGTTAGAAAGTTTGTCACAGAGCCAAAATTTCAATACGTGCTGGCTATTTTCTTAGATATATCTGGCGCCTTCGACAACGCATGGTGGCCCATGCTGTTGCTGAAATTAAAATCACGGGGGTGCTTTAAAAATATTTATTCCCTTATCTCTTCGTACTTTTCACAAGGTACAACTAAACTAAGACTTGGTCATCATTCTGTGTCGAAGGCGCTTACAATGGGATGTCCTCAGGGATCGGTGCTAGGTCCATACTTGTGGAATATCGGTTTCGACGATTTTCTTGCGATACCAATACCATCCGAATGTACTGATGACGGCTTATTACTGGTGGAATCTGATACTAGGACGGGGCTTGAGAGATTAGCCAATAGATGTTTGAACTTGATATCTCAATGGGGTGAACGTAATCGCTTAACTTTTGCACCCAACAAAACCTTCCAGCTACTTTTAAAAGGTAACTTCAAATCTCCGCCGAGCATCAGATTTGACAATGTTACTGTAAAAAATAAAACCTCAGTGTGTTATCTAGGATTAGTTTTAGAAAGAAACTTTTCATTTATCGAACATTTTAAAATAGTTAATGAAAAGTTTAAAAAGAGTTTCTGTGCATTGACAAGGATATCAACTGCGACATGGGGTCTATCATTTAATACATTAAAGATCATATACGGAGCTACTTATTTAGGTTCTATGTGCTATGGTGCACCTGTATGGGCCGATAGGGCGACCGTAGGCACTGTCCGTCGCAAACTGTTACAAGGCCAACGACTTGCACTGATATTTTTGTGCAAGGCATATAGGACGGCTAACCGTCCTATATGCCTTGCACAAAAATATATAAGTGCTAACACTGAAGCTTTGCCGGTGTTGGCGGGTGTGCTTCCGGTCGATCTCGAGGTGCAGAGACGTGCAGCCATGTACTATTCAAGACAAAACATGGAATGCGATTTTTTTGGGCGCGCGGGATCGCGGTATAATTACAAGATTGCTTCAACAGCAGTCCGATGTCTATAATGACCTCATAGACGAATGGCAGCAACGCTGGGACGAATCATCCAAGGGGCGCCATCTTTACCAATTCTTTCCAACCGTTCTGTTCGCGAACGGTTGTTGAGGACATGGCTTGAGGTGGATCACTGTGTCGCTCAATTTCTTACGGGTCATTGTAACTTTAAGAGCAAGTTGTATTCATTTAAATTAGTCGAGTCCCTATTGTGTCAATGCTCAACACCTAACTCTTACTATGAACAATCTGCTCATCATATCCTCTGGGAATGTAGTCTTTTTTATAATGAACGTAATATAATGCTGAATAGCTTGCAGATGACATCTGGGGCGGTATACTATGGGGATCTTGTGTCAACTAGGGTGAATTTCCGTGCGTTTAGGCGATTCTGCCATACATATTATAGAAATCAAATATAGCTCATGTAGGACCCGTAATATTTTGTGGCCGTGGTGCTTCCCTGTTTAAAAGGGTGTATGCCTATTTTACTTCATTTTGTCTCCCGCTTTGCTAAGGAGGGAAGTGGATTTACTGTATTTCCAACTCCTCCAATTTTCTTCGGATTAATTTCGTTGCGGGTTCCAAGTCAGTTTAATTTCATCCTTTGACTTCCCGAGTGTCATAACTCGGTGTGTTTGTGGGTCACTGCTGTGGATCCTGGTGTACAGGAGTTACAGTGGTGAGCTTGTGGGTGGGATTAGTCCCAAAAAAAAAAAAAAACACCACCTCTCCGAAAACCCCGGTGGGGTGACGGCCCGAGGGGGTTTCCCTAAATTAAAAAAAAAACGCAAGGCTGTTTCCTTAGCACTGCTGATAGTAATTGACTTCAACCGCCCAAGGTCTGCAGTTCAGAAATTACAATGTTTCATATTAGTTCCCCAAATAAAATTGGGAAAAGATGAAACAATAATGATGATCATCGATACGGTTTTCCTACAGCACTCGTTCATATTTTTCACATGTGTATCTGTAATTGTATATTTCTTTTTTGTTTTTTTTAGGCTCTACGACAAAGAGGGCTACTACCTAAGACAATTCCCTATCATGAATCTGACCTCGAGGACTGGTTTCTTGGCTGTAGACAACAATATAGACTATTTGACACAGGGCAGTTTTAGACAAGGCAGCTCTAAAATCGACTACATAGCGGATCCTGATGTGAGTAGCAAACTTTTTATGATTCATACATTTAATTGTATACTTAGAAAATGTCTAAACGGTAAAGAAAAACTAAGACCTCAGCTCAGTGGACTCACGTCACATCACATCAACAGCCTTTAATAGTCCACTGTTGGACATAGGCCTCTACTTAGAAAAGAGGTTTTGGCCTACTATACTACGCTAGCCAGACGGGTTGGTATAGGGTTTTGTGTCAAGTTATCCTTCTCTCTACAGTGCTGTTGTCTTGCGTAGTTTGCTCCCTTAGTCGCCTCTTACGACACCCACGGGATGAATAGGAGTGGTGACACTCTGTATTCTTAATCCGTCACCACACGGAGCTCTAAAACCATTTACAGGCTCCATCATAAGATTTAAATCAAAAGAAGATATCCTTTAAGATGATTTGAAATTGTTCAAAAAATTAAATATTTAACAATAAAAACAAAAGTTTTATTAAACTGCACAACATATAAACAATTGTAGAATTAGACGTATATTAATTAGAAAAAAAAAGTAGAAAATGTAATATTCTCAAAACAGAAATGTACCTTCAAATACATTGTGTCTCTAAAACATTTTGAACCATTCTGGTTGCCTGTAAGAAATTACACGTAGCGATACGACCATCCTTCGTACATTATGTGTATCATACTCGTCAAAATCATACTCATCATATCGTACTCGTCAAAAAGTCCGTGTGGTGACGGATTAAGAATACAGATTGTCACCACCCCTATTCATCCCGTGGGTGTTGTAAGAGTCAACTAAGGGAAAAAACTACGCAGAACAACAACACTGCACAGAGAAGGAAAACTTGACACAAACCCTATACCAACCCGTCTGGCCAGCGTGGTATAGTAGGCCAAAACCTCCTTTCTAAGGAGAGGCTTATGACCAGCAGTGGACTATTAAAGGCTGTTGATGATGATGATGACTCGTCAAAAATGTCACCCGTGTAAAAATGATGTCGTGTCCTGTCTATCTAATGTTTATATCAATATGATCAGGTCAATTTCTGAACATGGAAATTTTTAAAGCATTGTTTGTAGAATCCCATTGAATACATTAGAGCAATATTTTTGATATTGTCATAACTATCAGTTGTAAGATTAATAACTTAATTGGACTTCCTCCTAAGTTACACGTAAATATAATATATTTTAATATCTTTAAAGACACGGGTTCTATGCAATAAAACCTACGATGGCTTACGCTTTCGCTCATAGTTCCTCTTCAATAACAATTCTAAAAAATTAGGATCTCATTTTCACATAAAAAGTGGCACCAATTGCGTATTATCATGATTTGAAAGTTTTCGTTGTGACTTTCGAAAGATTTTCTTTTCTATTTCTATTACATAATCATATACCTACGTCTTCGTTTTCTAAATAGCTCGATAACTACTAATAAACATATAGGCTAGAATTATTTATTAATTTACAATTGTTTCATTAGCTCGGATGTCATATGGAAGTTTTTCTTACAGGTAACGGAACAAGGTCTAGGCTCTTATCAAAGAGTGACAGATTTGGTTACAAATGATTTGTCCAAAAACCGTTACTTTGGATTCCAACCTTATGTCAATTACAGACAGTTTTGTTTCAATACACCGATTAAGAGCTTTGGCGATCTTTACGGCATTATTGATGAAGAGGTAAATACATTTGAAAAAAATACATACATTTACACACACAATTACAAGTCTCAGTAAGAGTGCACTTTTAAAATTTGGAACCTTGTTTTTTCGTGCAAGAGGCAACTCTGAATTTGACAGCTGTCACCTGTGTTCATTCCGATTATTAAAAATACAGCGCTTTTGGAAAAAGAACAACGCGTTATAATTCTGAAAACTCATTACAAAACTGGGGAGGGCCTATTGCAGGCGCAGAGTGGCACACCGTGTGATTTTAGTTGGTCCGATTCCGACACACCACTCTGGCGCAAACCCCAGTGGGGTGACGGCAAAAAAAAAACGGTTATGAAATCGCTGATAAACATACTAATATAAATCTAAATACATGGGCTAGCCATATTAGCCGCAGAACCGACAATCGTTGGGGAAAACGAGTTCTTGAGTGGAGACCGCGTTTCGGCAAACGTGTGCAGAACCCCCACAGGCCAGATGGAGTGACGATTTGCGCAAGATGGCTAGCAGGAGCTGGATGGGAGAAGCCCAAAATCGATCTAAGTGGCGTGTAATGGGAGAGGCCTATGTCCAGCAGTGGACTGCTATAGGCTGATGATGAAATACGTTTTGTAGATATATACGTAATACTAGAAAAAATAATTCGCATTCATCTACTCGTATACATAATATAAGCTTGAAATTAAATGGCTTTTAGAATTGATATTAAAGTAATATTCACAAGCTAATTTATTTATTTACATTTCCTTCCATTTCAGAGAATAGAGGTGTTGAGAGAAGTGTACGAAAAAGTTGAAGACATAGACCTACTGGCCGGTATTTGGACGGAGAAACCAATGCGTGGTGGTTTCGTACCTCCTACATTCTATTGTCTGGTTGTAGATCAATTAAAACGTAATATTTACTCCGACAGGCACTGGTATGAAAGGCCTAACCGACCGAATGCGTTTACTTCCCGTAAGTGTTTTGATGTTATCACGTCTCAATGGAGGAGTTTGCGTAATTTATTATGTTTTAAAACCAATAATAATATTTCATCTGGTCATATATTATACGCTTACGTAGTACAGTTGCAGGCAGTTTATTTTATTTTTGGATTTATTTTTGTCTTTTAATGCAAAGTGTTTTTTTTTAACAAGGCATAGGTATTCTAGTGTTGGAGGTTCCATATCAGAATACCTATGTCTCTTTACTAACGTTGAAAAATAGACTCAAAGAACACTTAGACTCGGGTAACTATTCGTGGAACCTACTGATTTTTAGTTATCAAACACCTAATGGTAGGTAAATGACACCCATGCACGTATGATGTAGTCTTATTTATTATAAAGGGTTCAAAACTTGAATTTAAGTTACCCCGGTCACAAATGGCGGTCCTGAAGTCGGATTTAGATTGTATAATATATATTTTTACATCGTAATTTTCGTATATTTCGGTCTAGCCCAGCTTCTTAAGGGTTTGACAGATGAGGCAAAGTGACGTGTGGTGTCAGTATAAGATTATGTGCACAAGTTTAGCCCGAAATTAATTGTACTTTATAATGGCATGCATGTGTAAAATCGCATGTCTCAATGATAAATACATGATATAATATACAGAAATACAGAAAATCACAGATATGCACAGAAATGCTTATTTTTCAGTTAAATGATTAAAAGTTAAAGTTTCCTGTTTTTCTTGGTACATTATATTTTTAAATTTTTCTTTCTTTTTTTTTCTTTGAAAAGACAAGTCCCGCATTAGGAGGATGTCGTGTGTCGCGAAGGGGCTTAACAAACATACATAAAACGGACACAAAGAACACACAGATTCAGAAGAATAATTTGTGAATCACACAAAGTGTCGTCCCATGTGGGGATCGAACCCACAACACTCAGCGGAGTAGGGAGCGGCGTGGCGGCCGCTTCAACCACTACGAAATACGTGCAGTCAAATTTAAATAATAAATAATATATTTGTGTAGTATTTATAATATAATATCTGTTACATACAGCTCAGTTGGCTCAAATAAGAAAGATCACGATTGCAAGAATGCTGTGTGATGTTGGAGACACCGTGAAAAGAATTCAACCGCACGCTTTCCTGAAAGCTGGATTTAAGTAAGTTTATTATACGCTATTATTTCGACTTCGAATTCGACTATTGCTTCATATTATTGCATCCGTATGGTGACACCAAACCTGGTCATTCCGCGGGCTTCGAAAGAGCTGACTAAGGGAGCAAACAACCCAAGACAACAGCACTGCAGAGAGAAGGAAACTTGACACAAACTCTACAACAACTCGTCTGGCTAACGTGGTATAGTATTCCAAACCCACCTTTATAAGGAGAAGCCTATATCTATGTAGCTTTATAATATTAGTATAGAATAAATAACTGTAGTTTATTGAGTCATGACATTTGGTTTATAATTTTAGTTTCCCATAAAAACTAATCTTTTAGTTTTGAAACTGTGTAGCCAACACAAGCTTGAGTCATTAGACACATAAAAGAAGGAGTGTTTGAAAGGAATATTCTAGAAATTGATTTTTATTCTTGAAAAAAACCAGTAGCAATCAATCAAATATTTTTGGACAGACTTCCTAAGAACTAGTATTATAATTTTATTAAATGGAATTTTGCACCAAGTTTGAAATGACGATTATGTTCACTTTGAGTACGCTATAAAGAATTGTGAGACTTCTACAAATATAAAGAGAAATTGATAGACTACGTCATGTTCACGCGAAAAGCGTTACCTACTATTGATTTAGCTAGTGAATAAACAATATTATATAGTATATTTAGTATTGCCATACTCCAATAATAATATCTACTAACACAAAATAAAAAAGTTACAATATGGGCAAATTGTTTTGTTTTTTAGGAACCCGATGTGTGATTGCAAACACATCATCAGCATGGACTTCTCCGCTTGGAGAGATGATTCTTGCGGCGCCGGCGGTGGATTCTTCGATCATCTCTTTAAATAAGTATTACTGTAAAAAACATTTATCCAAAAAAAATAGCTGCGTGTATTAATGAATAATATATTATGACTGTCTTTCATTCCTCTTTTATATACTCTAGCAATAAACGTGCTTATACGTTCTACCTACACAACAAAGTCATGATATAGGGACTGAACAAGCAGACAGGTTGCCTGATAGTATATGCCCACTGTCGCCAGTGATATGAAGAGTCAAAGAGCCTTGTCAGCCTTTTAATCCCTCAATCTCTACACTGTGAAATGCATGGCTATCCCACGGATGAAAGATGGTCTAGTAATTTTGGCAAACATGTTTTAAGGGATACAAAAACAACGCGAGATAAGTGTCTAAAATAAAAATCGGATACCTAAATCATGTATTTGTATTTGTAATGTAGTGTTTTGTATTGTAATTTGTAAGGAAATTATATATTTAACTTTCCAGATACGGTGAGTCATTGATGAGCCATTGTCACTACATCGACGGTCTATTGACACTGTGAACTTTTGTAGAATATTGTTATTTTGACGGATGTCAATGGCATCTCAATAGCGTGTCAATTTAATGAGAGTGGCTTGTACGTTAACATTCAATATCAGAATTGACACCCTGTTCGTTTTCACCCAATAACATAAAAACACCCAATTTAAAAACATGGTAAATACATAGGTATTTAAAAGTACTATTTCACTTTCCATGCAAACCATTTATTTAAAAAGAAACCGTGAATACGTTAGAATACATTACCGAAAATCGTTTAGAATTTAATCTTTATCAACATTGTACAAAGGACCAACAATCGGAGGTTATTAACTATTTATAAATATACTATTTATCAGTGGTTTGGTTACCATAGGAAAGGTTCTGTCTTATTTGACAACGGCTGTGTGTACAATATATAATATATATTATTAAGAAAAACATACTACAGGTTACAGCAAGACATGTATATTTGTACATATACACTTAGATATATTAAAATATTAGTAATTAGCTCTAAACAAACAACCAAAACTGTTGCCCTAACCTAAAAAAACCGATGTAATTGTGCAATGGTACGGGCATCTGGTAAAATATAGGAACATCGAAAATGTTTTTTTATTAATTTAACCATTAAGTTAAACCTAGTACTACTGAACTCGCATGGGCCGAGAACGGGCCAAGTACCGCAGACGGCTGTCGCAGGAGGATATATGGAGCTGCAGGATGGAGGTGTGCAGGCCTGAGGGTGACAGGTGAGGCCATCTGTCACTCAAGCAGAAGCAGGGTGGGTGGTAACGCGACGCGCTATTGAGCGCGCACGCCCTTCGTGGACAGGAAGGGAACATCCGGGCTCCCACACAGGAGGAGTCATCTATAACCCGTAGATGGCCCGAGGGACGTCGGGGTACCAGGGCTTTCCTTTCTAGGTTATACCTGGTTCCCCGACTACTGGTACCTGGAGACGGCGTGCAGTTTTTGGTCGGTTCATGTCCGACATAATCACCCACTGGTGGGTGATGTCCGAGGGGAGTTCCGCACAGAAAAGAAAAGTTTACTACTAAACTCAGTTTCTCCTAATAAAGGTTTCACTATTCTAATGAATATTAATATAATTGTAAGCAACGTGCAATGTAAGCTGTCAAAAGTTTCACATGGCAGTTTACGATTATATTTTCAAATAAACCAGGTGTAATTTACATATTTAACCGCGGGTTCCGCACTAAACATTTATTCATATGGTATAGATACTTTACAGAAATATTAATTAAAACCGACAACAGAGGCCACAGAGTAACTAATAGATTACCATAAAAGCGGCAATTTTGACATATCATGTTCAGAATAACTTTTATGCAAATACATTTCAACAATTATGTACTTGAACATTTTGTGTAGCGGTGCAGTACATTGTAAAATACGGATAAAATACATTAGCATCACATCAATAGCCTTTAATAATCCACTGCTGGACATTGGCCTCTCCTTAGAAAGGAGGTTTTCGCCTACTGTACCACGCTGGCCAGAGGGGTTGGTATAGGGTTTGGTTCATGTCCGACTGGGCAGGGCGGCAGCACGAGACCCTTTCCTTCCGACTGATGCAGGTCCATTCCGGGCACGGCTGCTTCGGGAAGTACCTGCACTCGGTCGCTAGGAGAGAACTGAGTCCTGCCTGACACCACTGCGATTGCAGTGAGGAATTGTGCGTGTGCTTCTGGCAATTTACCCGTCTTCGGAGTTTGCAGCGTCGGGTCCTCACTGCAAGCATTGGGGGAGATCTCTCACAACCCCCGTCATACGCTCCATGGCGTGTAGTGACAGTTGTTTCACCGCGGTCATATCCTTCTGCGAAGACGTTATCTCGCAGAAGGAGGCGACGGAGAGGGACCGGGCGGCGGAAGCGCGCTTACCTGTGTGCCGGACGTCTCCTAAATAGAGAATGTACCCGAAGGTGGTGCCCGCGCCGTTGCGGGCAGGCGCTGGGAGGGGTCCGGATGTCGTAATAATAGCAGTTCCCGGATTCCTTTGGTTTATGTTTTCCTTTTTTTTTGCAGTGCTGTTGTTCTGCGTAGTTTGCTCCATTAGTATATCTCTTGCTAAATATGTAAATACTTTACATGCAAATACAAATGTTTAATATGTTAATGCCTATAAATATTTGTAATTGAAGGCATGAACTATTTTGTTTTAAGAAAGAAAAATAATTTCTTGTTTAATACAAAATTTTATGTTGTAAATTATTATTCGCAATCAATTTTGATTTATCTATTTATTTTCTTGAGTATAGGTTTAAAACAGATGATTAGTTTGTCGCTTCGGTGCTATTTAATCTTTGCATACAGGGATTTGCAAAGCGATTTGCATATTTCTAAATTGTACTAAACTTTAACTGTATGGCAGTGTTTATGTTATCGTGAGCGATCGTTTATCTTGCTATGACATTGCGTTTTGATACCATATCGTATTCTAATTGATGTTAAACTTCGTTGTGTAAATCAATGGACCGGAAAATTATTATTTACTAGCTTTTGCCCCCGGGTCCGCCAGCGTGTATGACGGGTATATTAAACTTTCCCCAGACCTACACAATTTTATTTTTCAATTGAATTCTTTTTTTATATGCTTTTCCAGCCAATAGTGATTTAAAAAACTGTTTATTGAAATGCACTTCAGTGTTGCAATGAGCAACAAATAATGAGGCATATCAAGGCAATATCATTATATCAAGGCAATTTAAAAAAAAAGCAATGCACAGTATACGGTATTGTTTAATAGCCATAATTCCATATTCAAACCACTCTCGTGTCCCTGACAGCTGATATATGGTGACAATAAACCTATTTCCTCGATGGCCATGAAGTCCCGCTGGCTCACTGCAGGATATCCCCGAGATTGTATGTTTGAGTCAATACGGCACAGTCCTTTAAGATAATATTGAGTTATGGGAGACAGTGTAAATGGAACTTTTATTTATTTATATAGTGCTGAATTAGAACAATTGTTTTGTAAGAGATCAATTTTTTTATGTGTAACATCTTTTCTCTTCATTGCCTGCAAGGGACGGAAGTGTGTAACAGGATCCCGGGGAATTCCCCGATATTTAATTTTATTAATGAGCAGGCACAGTGTTGGCAATCTAATAGTATAAAATAGATGCAAGATTTAACATTTTGACGACCGGATGGCGTGGTGGTTTGTGTAACGGACTGCTATTCCAAAGGTCGCGGGTTCGAGTCCCGCTCAAGTAAAACGTATGTGTGCATGAACATTTACTGTTTGATTTGGTCTGGGTGTTTCTATGTATAATATGTATGTATTTACAAAAAAATAAGCATATATGTATTTATATCAGTTGTCTAGTACCCATAGTACAAGCTCTGCTTAGTTTGAGACTAGATGGCGTTGTGTGAATGTGGTAGATAAAAAAAAACACATTTTATAGGAATGCTTTAGTCTCCCTAATAAATTATCTCCGGCATCTTTGGTTTTAAACCAAAGATAGTTGTTGTTCTATAGAACAAAGAGATCACCAATGTGTACTCCCTTTTACAATTTAGTAAAATTTTTACACTAGTTTTTACTATATTTACGTTTTTATATACGTTGCATACGTTTTTATTTCAAAACAAAACACTATTGTAAAATTTTATTAAACCATTATATTTAACCGATTTCAATAATTATTAGGTTCATTTTTATTTTTTGTATATGTATACATGTAACATGATATCTATATTAAGTTTGTTCAAAGTTACGATGCGTAACGGACGGAACGGAACGTTGCGGAAGAGATGTGCGCAAGGTTCGAGCCATCACATCTTACGCATGATACCGAGTAGGCTGGATTGTACGTATGTGAGTCGCTGTTGTGCTGTCTCTGCCAGGATAGCACAGCAGCGACTCAACACTAACATACATATACATATACTAAAATACAAGTAAGTATTACTAACACTAATGAGTCTGCGCGCTCGAATATATAACTTGAAAGCCGGCGGTTTAAGCGTGGCAGACAGACATATGTACTTTCGCATTTATAATATTAGTATGCATTTTGATATATTTCACGTATATGTACGTATATTTGAACCATGAGAGAGATATACATGGGCACATATCGGCCGGGTGACTGAAATGACAACATGGCCTCGCAAAAACCCGTGTTCAGTAATGACTAAACACGAGTTTTCTGCGAGGCCATGTTCACTCGGTAAAATGCAACTAAGGATTGTCTTAGTTGCATTTTACCGAGTAACTAAGGTTACCGTCGTCCAAACCCCCTTCCACTGATTCTGTTATTCATGAGTTGCAATACCATGGGCGATGATAATCACTTACCATCAGGTGACCCGTCTAATCATTGGCCTCTCTATACCATAAACAGTCATGGTGTTACAATTAAAAATATGTACCACACCAGAGACAACACAAGACGCAAATTGGTGGCTAAAACATTTCATCCCTCAATGCCTCCATAATGCAAATAAAGGCTTACATATACAAAGGTCAGCATTTGTCGTATTTGTGTACGACTGTCACGTACAGACGAGCAATGTTCCCCAAATGTGTATCGATTTCCATACGTCGCGTTGTGAATTTTAAAGGGAGCCAAACATTGTCTCATATTCCGCTTTTTGCTCCTATATATTACAGATGACCCACGCGACTACGTCTGCCTCTGGAAGAGGAATAAATTTGACCCGTTTTTGCAACATTTCTCATTGGTGCTCGGCTCCTATTGGTGGTAGCATGATATTTTATAGCCTACAGTCTTTCTTGATAAATGGGCTATCCAACACTAAAATATATCTTTTAAATCGAAGGAGTAGTTCCTGAGATTAACGTGTTAAAGCAAACAAACAAAAGCTCTTCAGCTTTGAAATATTAGAATTGAATTATGGATAACAGTGTGTATTATATTACGCGGGCCAGGTTTGATTTTGTTATCAGTTAAAGCTAAGTAATAACCAACCTTATTCATCCAATATGTGTTGATGGATTAAATTTTTTGTATACATTAAAGTAAAATAGTTTTGTAAACCCAAAAATAGATAGATTAATGGAACTCTTAATTTAGCACTACAATTTATTTGCTTAATCCACCTTCTGACTTCATCATCGGAAGATCTCTATCAGCCACGCCGTTGAAATAGCTCAAATTCAAGAAGTTAAGGAGTAGCCACTAAAGAGTTCTACTATATAGATCCACCATAGCCATGCTTTGTCGCCTATGGGTCCTGCCAACCCTGACTCGAGCGGGAGAGACTCCAAGGGCAGCACTTGTGACTTTTGAGTTGCAGGTGTCCATGGGCGGCGGTGGTAGTTGTCAGGTGACCCGTCTGCTTGTTTGCCCCCTTATGCCATAAAAAAACTAATAATATACAAAGAGTACAAAAATATAAATCTAAAAATACCATTGCCGCTGTCGGTTTACTATAAGTAAGTGAGTTCTAGAAATAAAATAAATCAAATATCATAGCATGTTTGCAAATCGACAATATGATAAGTTTGATCTTGTAGATTTTGTAAAAATAATTTTATAGCTTTGCGCCAGAAGATTATATAATATATTGTGTGTATTTTTCTTTCTTTATATTCAGTTCATAATATTAAATCTAGTAAAACAAAAGTTGACAATGTTTGTTGACGTTATTAGAGGGTATTTGCATAAAATCGTCAATATAAAAAAAATAAACAAAATTTAACAATCTAACAGCATACAGGAAGTGAGCAAATAAAAGGTTAATAGGATATTTCCTTTTTAGGCTAATTATACACATTGGGATTGCCTACCACATTGGGTGGCTTTATAATTTAAAAGAATAAGTATTTATTCCAAACACATTTAAGGACCCGTTTTTTGTTATTTGTCAATTTGGGTGGCTGTTTATGTTTTCTATTTGCGATCAGCTTCGAATTTTGTATCGCCTTGCTTAAAAAACTTGAAAAGAAATAAACATTAAAATAAATTTAATTTCTAAAATTTTCTTATATTCAAATATTTTTTTGACTGCACGGATGGCGTAGTGGTTTAAGCGGTCGCCACGCTGCTTCCTACTACGTCGAGTGTTGTGGGTTCAAACCCCACACGGGACGACACTTTGTGTGATCCACAAATTGTTGTTCTGAGTCTGGGTGTTCTTTGTGTTCGTTACATGTATGTTTGTAAAGTACCCCGCGACACAGGATGTATTCCTAATGCGGGAGTTGTCTTTTTAAACAATTTTTTAAACAATTTGCCTTAGTTGCTATTAGTATGAATACTTTAAATGAAGAAATTGGAGTTTAAACAGCTTACTAGAATGTACCTACAAGTTTTAGTGGGTACAATATAGAAGTGGGAGATTATTGAAATTTGTGGGTAGTAAGTAGTAATTTTAGAAAAAGTACCAGCCACTATATTTAATTGGTCACACAGCAACTTTTTTTTTTTAATACACATTCAGCTCTGTATCCAATTTGAAATTCGATCGCTTGATTTTTTTTTATTAATCTTGTAACATACTTTTTTCTGAATGAAAAATGTTCTTAAACTTTTTCAGTATCTGACATAACTTGTAAGAGTAGTTAAAACCACAAAAAAAACAGGCTTCGCATCTCTTATAATTTTATGCAAAGTAGCCCAAGTAACTTCTTAAATAAATTGCAACACCTGAACTGGGTAACTATTGAGCCTGATACCAATATATAAAAACACCCTTATTTGTACACAGTTTTTATGCAATAAATATATGTCTATGTCTATATAATAACATCAACCACCTGCCATCGGGAAACTTGTCGAATTTAGTCCACTCCTTCAAGATTGTGGGAAACGACCAGAATAATACTCAGACAGATAGACAAAATATAAAAAGATATTTATAGACAAAACTATTATCATGTCGTTATGCACAGATAACATTTGTCTTTATTTTTTTTAAGTAAAGTCATAGACAAATTGTTATCATTTGGTTATGGGCTTTTGAAAGGGTCATTAAATTTTTAAGACTTGTTAGTAAGTCAATACAACTACCTCTTTTGTGTAATATAATTTTAAAACTCATAGGGTTCGGACATATTCAAGAATGTTACTGATATGTTTGCTGTCGCTTTTGTGTAGCGTGGAGAGTGCATTATTGTATGATTCGTATACTGGATTGCAAATAACGAGGGAAGACGTGAAAAGGCATGATAAATCGAACACAACCTTGTAAGTTATTTTTTATAATCAAAAAAAATATTAATTAAATAATTTTTACTCCTACCCTCAAAATGTTTGCTTAAATTTAAACTTTTATTAAATTAATTATGTTTAGTATAATTATGTTTTTACACTCGATATCATAAGTTTATGTTTTACATATCAACTGAACAATTAAATAATGATTTAATTGTTCAGTTGATACATACGGGTACTTCTACGTACACACGGGTAAGGCTTACCTATTTTATTTTTTTCTTTACCTTACCTTAGGCTTACCTAATTTGCGGGCAGGCGCTAGGAGGGGTCCGGATGTCTTAATAAGAGCAGTTCCCGGATCCCTCCTATTACAGGCGCAGAGTGGTTTTAGTCGGTCCGATTACGACACACCACCCCGCCGCAAACCCCGGTGGGGTGACGGCCCGAGGGGGTATCCACAAGGCACCAGGGACTTCCTTTCTAGGGTATACCTGGTTCCCCGGCTATTAGTACCCGAGACGGCGTGCGGTTTTAGTCGGTTCGAGTCCGACATGCCACCGATAGGTGGTATCCGAGGGGATTTCCGCACGGAAAAAAAAAGGCTAACCTAATTTAGGGCTATTGGATATTTCTTGTAGTTATAATTTACACTTATATTTATTTGAAACGTGTATTCGAATACATATATACTATATTTATTTCACAGGCTACATACATATATATACTATATGTACTATATTTATTACCATCTACATCTCCTTCTCTGCACAGTTAAAAAAAAAAAAAAAACTTTTTATAGTTTTGCAATTACATGAAATGACGTAATTAAAGAAATTACACTCAAAAATGTAACTAATTCCTTCTACACAAAGATCCAATTGGCTAACATGTTGATAACACTTTTTTTTTGTGTTATAAACACTTCTGCCAGAATTATTAAACTTACTCCGTTATATATGTATTATATTGATTTCTGATATAATTTGATGTTGTATTGCATAAAAATATTTTATTTTCATTATTTGTGAAAGTAATATTTTTCTTTTGTATACATCCCTTCTTTTTAAGGGGTTAAAAGGTACATCGGGGCACCAGGGATTTCCTTTCTAGGGTACATCTGGTTCCCCGACTATTGGTTTAGTGCGGTTTTAGTCTGTTGGGTCCGACGTTGCCACCGGTAAGTGGTATCAGAGGGGATTTCCGCACAGAAAAAAAAAGGGATTAAAAGGAGGGGTATGATTTTCGACTGTGTGTAGGCATATGATTATATTTGGCAAGTTCTCTAGCGTAAGCAGCTTGATAGATTTTAGTGTTTGATGTTTCGTTAGATTAATCTTAATTGTGAAAGTGATAATGGGTATACATAAAAAAAGAAATAAAGTTTGTAGTACTCAAGGTGACCAACCTTGAGTACTACAAACTTCTATTTCTTTTTTTATTTTTATTCGAAGAAAATATACCACATCTAAGAGTCAAGGGGCAAGTCAAGGGCTGAAAGTACACTGCAAGTATATATCTCCAATTGCACGTAATCGTTCATATAAATGTTATCCAAATTTAAAATTATTAAGACACAAATTATTGTACCTTTTTTTAAACTACGAAAAAAAGTTTAAAAAGAGTTTTCTTTATAAACTTTTTATCGAAACCAAAACATAAAATTTACAATTAATTTATTTAACTTTATCACATTTAGTTGGTGCGTGAATAAGATTGAACCGTGTGACCCTGCAGAAGGACGGCGTGTCGATGGCTCCTGCAATAACCTCAAACATCCGTCCAGAGGAGCTACGCACACACCCTTCAGAAGGCTTCTACCTCCAGTTTTCGATAAGAGTAAGGTCTATTTGCATTACACATCACATCAACAGCCTATAGTCCACTGCTGGACATGGGCCTCTTCTTAGATAGGAGGTTTTGGCCTACTATACCACACTGGCCAGACGGGTTGGTATAAGGTTTGTTTCAAGTTTTCTTCCTCTTTGCAGTGCTGTTGTCCTGCGTAGTTTGCTTCCTTAATCGGCTCTTACCACACCCACGGGATGAATAGGGGTGGTGACACTCGGGGTGGCGGCGAGCGCGTTGCGAAGCGCGCTCGCTTCCAAGGAGCTCAGGGAACATGGGGTTCCCACACGGGGCGGGGGTCGTGTACTCGTCTGTAGATGACCCGAGGTATGTCGGGGCACCAGGGCCTTCCTTTCTAGGGTATACCTGGTTCCCCGGCTATTAGTACCCGGCGAAGGCGTGCGGTTTTAGTCGGTTCGAGTCCGACATGCCACCGACAGGTGGTATCCGAGGGGATTTCCGCACGGAAAAAAAAAAAAAAAAAAAAAAAAAAAAAAAAAAGGGGTGGTGACACTTCGTATAGTTAATCCGTCACCACACGAACAAGTTCTATTACATAAATAAATTTGTAAATATTATATAAATTAATTTGTCTAATATCCTATCATTTATTTAGATGTAAATAATCCTACTAGAAATATATCATTATTAATTTATGTAAACTAGAGATATGCTGGCCGTCAAATTATGATCGATGTCTTTTTTTTTTCATTGACCAGTAAAACTTGACTTGTCATTGTATTGATTTTTCTATTATGACCAGTCACTGGAGGGTTTTAAAAATTTTAGCGTTCTACAGATAGTGTACATATAAACATACGTTCCAAATATGATGTATTCGCATCCCACATTTGTTTGAAAAAGTCATAGGTGTAAAGAAAATTTAATAATTTAAAAATTATATGGACATAAGTAAATGTTTATACCATTTCTAGGCGATAAAGGTTTAGAAATTAAAAAAAAAACTAAAATAGATGCGTTAGTTGGATTAAAATCTAAAGTCGTAGCGAAAACGTAACGTAAACCTCATTAGTAAAGTAATCAGATACTACTGTTTTTTTTTCAGACTTCACTCCAAAGAAGTCGTCATCAGGGAACGATCTGCCTCTCGTGCGGTATGTGAGGACCCGCATCTTATCTGTGGGCAAAGTTCCCAGCCAAGTCTTCACAATGTTGGCTGCGCACTACTTTGTCTTTATGTTAGCTGATACCGTCTCTTTACATGACACAGGTATGCAGTCAATATTATATTTTTAAATGTATCTTCGGGCATAACTCTGTCATACATAGGCGGATTTTCAAAATTCTTTGTTTATTATTTTTATTCCGAAATGGTAACATTTAAATTTTATATAGATCTGATGATGAATTTCGGAGACAGACAACGAAACTCTTCAAAAAATTACAAAGCAATCAACCGCCATTGACGCTAGGTTTTTAGTGCTCTTTGTTAGGTATTGTATGAAGTCTATTCAACTTGAAGGTTTTTCTTGTTAAAATTGTGTATCTTCGTAAAATGTTTTTCCATCTGTAAATTCATTCAATATTTATATCAAGATCAATAATGACTTTAATTAATACCGTATATTGCCTTTATTAGGGTTCTGTACCTCAAAAGGTAAAAAGGAACCTTTATAAGATCACTTTCTTGTCCGTCTGTCACCAATGATTTTCTCAAGAACGGGTAGACCTAGCAAGTTGAAATTTATATCAGATACTAAGGTCTATGGTCCCTATTAGTTGTATAAAAATCAAGGTCCTGTGTCAACACGATAAAAAGATAACCTTGCTTTTAACCCAAATTGACAATTCTAGGTCAACCGGAAGTACCCTATAGGTTTTGGGGCGAAAACCTATATGGTAGTTCCCGTTGACCTAGAATCACGAAATTTGGCAAAAAGGAAAGGTTTTACAGCACAAATAAAGGAGTAAATCCAAAAAATAAAAAAGTTGAAAATAAAGATAAATTTTGGTACTTACAAATTTTCGCGAAAATCTACGTAAAATCTGGGTAGGTACGGAACCTTCGGCGCACGAGTTCGACTCGTACCTGACCGGTTTGGTTTTATGTCGGCCATGTCTTCCGAAATGTTTAAGTATGTTTGTCAGCTATCTAGTTACTACAGTGCAGGTTCTGTCTAGTTTGTGATCAAACTGCTGTTTTCGAGTTGTGTGAGAATGTTATTATTATTTAGATGACCCAATTTAATAATTGGGCTTAGTGACCATTTTAATTTTCCTTGTTTCGTCAAACCCAAAGATCTTCGATTAGCAAAACATCTGTTTTTTTTTACATTAATAGAAAGTAATAGTATTTAAAATGATATTATTATAGTTATTAACAAGCATCGAGAGTTAACCAGATATTCGTGTTACAGTAAACTATGTTATATGGAAGCCATACTGCTGTACCGAGAAAGGTGAAACTGACTACATGTGCATTCCCATTAAAATACCTGTCGATGACCCTGTTCACCGGTTCTCTGGCCACCGCTGTTTAAATTTGACCAGGCCTGAGTCCTTTCAAAGTGTTGGCTGCGTCAAGAATGATACAACTCCTGATAGAGTAAGTTTATTTTTAATTTACTTTTTTAAAAGACAACTCCGCACTAGGAATGTATCCTGTGTCGCGAGATACTTAACAAACATTCATGAAATAGACACAAAGAATACCCAGACTCAGAAATGTGATGTTCCATGTGAGGATCAAACCCACAACACTCAGCGCAGTAGGAAGCAGCGAACAGCTTGCTTATACGACTACGCCATACGTGATTTCCTTCATTTATATATTTTGTTTCGAACTCACTAAGATTCAAGAATACATACCTGTCAACTATAATACAGTTGACAGTTGTGTATTATGTTGGATTATAGAATTGTATTTTTGCTTTTTAAAGACTAAGTTATCGTATATTATACCGATAAAACTACTGGGGAAGTATTTCAATAATGTACGGATTACAATTTGTTCATTAGTAAATAATGATTTATTCACATAAACATTAGTTGTATGACATTTTGTACACATACAAGAATTACAAGTAAGACGCGATTGCATACTATTTAGTCACAATACAATCTCGACCAGGAATCACACCTATCTGGTTAAGACTTTTAGCAGTTCAAAAGTAATATTGAGTAGTTAGTGATAATAAAGAAGTGGGTTCGATTCCCCCCCAGGACAAATGATTGTGTGATAAGCATGATCATTTGTACCATCATCATAGTATATACGTATTTAGAAATATATAAGTATGTTTATACGCAGTCTAGTTACCACAGCACAGGCTCTGCCTAGCTTGAGATAAGACGGCCGCAAAAACCGTCATACAAGCGGGCGGAACTACGGGCAAAAGCTAATCTTAGACATCAGCTTTTTTCTTTCATTATCATAACCAGATTGAGTACTAATGTTTAGAAGCGAGGTTAGAAGGTTAGAAGAAGCGAGTTATAAAGAACATAATAATCTATATTTGTTCTATATTTAAGAGGTGTTAGGTTATTGTCGTCATCATCATATTGTCATATAAAATCTATAATAATCTTGCTAATTATTGTACACATATATAAAAATGTACGCGAAATATTACATACGCAAAAGGTTAAAACCAAGTACAAAAAACTTTTTATGAACAATTGTAAAATTGTAATTGAAATATTACATTTTACAATACTTTCACGAAACTTTCTGTTAAATTAAATGTTGTTTCTGTTTTTCTCTCCTTCAAAACAGATTATTTCATCCACTCCTCTGCTAGACTTGTCTGTGATATACGGAAATCTACTGCAACCCTTGCTGCAAAAAGGACGCCTCTTCAAAGATGGTTTGTTGAAGTATGAGGTTGAGAATAAGAGGGTATGGCCTCCAAGTTACAAAATACAAGCCAACGTGTGCTACTTGAATCAACGGCCTAGAGAAAATAGATGCCATGAGATGCGTAAGTTAAATAAAACTGTGAACAAGAACATCCGATTTCAAACAATACCTACAAATAGTACTAAAAATCTAGCAATGGTTGATTTGCTATCATTTTTTGAAGAGTTTCGTTGTCTGTCTCCGAAACTCATCATCAGATCTATATAAAATATAAATGGGACCATTTCAGAACAAATCCCTTTCAAAGAATAAAAACTTTTTGAAAATTCGTCCATTGAAAATCCATAAAAAAATAAACATCCAAATTGAAAATCTCCTCCTTTTTGAAGTCGGTTAAAAAATGAAATATGTTTTTGATAACTTTCCTCCGTTTTTTCGGTATAGAAACAGACGGGTTATCTGGTAGTACATGACTATAGTCGTACATGGACTTCTGCTACTCCAGAGCCACGAGTGCATTACTGGCCTCTTGAGTCTCTAGTGTCCCAGAGAAGCGTATGAGGGGGAGGGGGGGTGCCTCATTAAAGCAATGAAAGAATTGGTTAACATCAGTTTTCTAGTGTGTTGTTTTAATCTAAATATTAAATGTATAAACCATCATAGAATTTAATAGTCTACTACTGGACATAGGCCTGTTATCAGAAAAGAGGTTTTGATCTAATTTAGAATAATTCTATTACCATTCGAAAACCGCGTGGTGACGGATTAAGAATACGGAGTGTCAACACTCCTATTCATCCTGCGGGTGTTGAAAGAGCCGACTAATGGAGCAAACTACGCAGAACAACAGCACTGCAAAGAAAAGGAATACTAACCCCACCAGACCAGGGTGGTATAGTTGGCCAAAACCTCTTTTCTAAGGAGTGTCCTATGTCCACCAGTGGACATCATAATTCGTAATTGTGAATTAAGCAAGAATTATCTTGTGTATGATAACATTTTTATCTTCTAGTATTGCTTCTTAATGAATTTCATACATGCAACCATCTACTTTTAGCTGAAGACGGCGCAAACACTCTACCAGGGATCAATTTGGTCTCTATATGGTTCTGGCGATACCACAATTTCATTGCCTCTCAACTAGCCAAGGTGAACCCATGTTGGGATGACAATAAGCTCTTTGAAACAGCCAGAGACATAAACATTGCAGTGTCGCAACAAATTTACTACTACGAGCTATTACCTGTTTTCTTTGGTAAATATTATTAAAATTTATACTTTTTTTGTGGTACCTTAGAAATACATTTTTAGTGGTTTTTAAAAAGAAAGAATACCGTTAGCTTTTCAATGAAGTATCTTTAAGGAGACTGTCATTTTCGATTCAATAGCTATTTTATTTGTCTTAGTTTTGAACGAGTTTGTATTTGTAGACATTTTGACATAGTTTACAAACGTTTTAAGTCTTTAATTTGAGAACTAAATGTATACTTCAAATAAAATATTTTTCTTTAATTCTTGAATATTCTTACGTTAGGGTACGATAATATGGTAAAAGATGGAGTGATAGACCCAATGGGTGGATTCAGAGACGAATACAATGAAAACTTTTTACCTCAATTGTCTCTGGAATATCCATACGTTTTGAGATGGATGCACAATATACAAGATGGTGTTTTAAAGTAAGTTTTATCATTTGTATTAAAAGCTGAAAATTTGTGTATCTGCCTTGAAATGCTTTTATCTCAACCAACCTTAGTTCAAGAATTATAATGGTGACAAGATTAATATGTTATTGGTTTTAGCTTTTGGGCTAAGTAAATTAAAGATTTTCAACTGTAAAACAAACCATAAACAATTGTAAAATTGTAAAAGTTTGTTCAAATACCTATTGGTATGTTATACAATCATCGAGGTGACATAATCTTCATAGAAAAAAACCCCGTAAATAAATAAAGTTTAAAAAAAACTCTATTGGTATATAAACAAATTTTTCAAACCCAATACTTTGATAGTAATAACTCTACATATGGATCAATTTTAAATGAAAATATTTCATCTTGATAGATGGCCGTTAATACAAAAAAATATATATGGATATAGGTTTTTTTAATGATAAAAAAATAATTATATTTTTAAAAAGATAATTTTATTGTTTTTTTGATAACTTTTTAAAAGCAGAATAGGAAAATTCACCCGATCCAAAACCATTTGCATGCATTTAAAAATTAATGATATTGCAGCTTCCATTTTCGTGTAGTTTGTTTATTCTTATTTTTAAGATTATATGATAAAGATGGCTACTACTTAAAGCAGTTTCCAATAGTGAATCTGACATTAAGAACTGGTTACTTCGCTGTGGATGACAACATTGATTACGCGACTCAGGGTAGCTTCAGACAAGGAAGCGCTAAACTGGATTATATTGCGGATCCTGATGTAAGTCAATTTATTAATTCTACTACAAATAAAAAAATAGGTCAGGTACGAGTCGAACTCGTGCGTCGAGGGTTCCGTACTAAAATTAATCTTTTCAACTTTTTTATTTTTTCAATTTATTCCTTTATTTGTGCTGTAAGACGTTTATTTTTGCCAAATTTCGTGATTCTAGGTCAACGGGAACTACCATATAGGTTTTCGACCCAAAATCTATAGGGTACTTCCGGTTGACCTATAATTGTCAATTTTGGTTAAAAGCAAGGTCTTACAGCACAAGTACAGAGAAAAATCTGAAAAGGTAAATTTTGGTGAAATCTCAATTTGCTAGGTCTACCCATTCCTGAGAAAATCGGTGGTGACAGACGGACAGACGGACAAGAAAGTAATCTTATTAGGGTTCCTTTTTTACCTTTTGAGGTACGAAACCCTAAAAACAGGGTTTTCAAATAAAAAGTTACTCTACAAAAGCAGTCATTTTTAGAATTTTTGATAACCTTTTAAAGTTACCGTCGTAGCGTAAATTAGATGGGGTTTCGAACCTACAACATACGTACAGCAAACAAAACACCTGGTCATCAAATCATATTCTTAATATAACATACACATGCAAACCTGACCAGGTAGCGTGACCACATACTCATGTCAATATCGGATGAAGGAGTAGAGATAGGCGTAATGAATGCCCATATTTTTTAAATATAAGTTTTATTTACGCTATTGGTGTATTGCTATCAGCTGGACACTTAAGAAATAAATGAGAAAAATTGGGAGTTCAATATGAAAGAAAAAGTAGGTACGATGCTAAGACAATCGTAGGAAAGGGAGATAATGATTTTTTTTTTATGGCACAAGGTTCAAACAAGCAGACGAATATGAATGGATTAAGGGGTGCAGGTCAAGCAGGCCTGAGTCTGATTTCGTTTCTACCTCCCTACCAACATCTTCGTAACAATAATTATAATATACACTACATGAGATATACTTATGCAAGATACATAATAATGGGGTGATGTGATAGTCAAAGAAATCATCAACATTATCATCATCACCTCAGCCGCAGACGGTTCACCTGATGGAAAGCGACTACCTTCCGTGAACAACTGCAACTCAGGAGTAACAAGACGGCCTTTGAGGAAAGAGTACGCTCTTTTCTTGAAGGTTTGAAAAACGCAAATACCGCAGACGATAATTTACAGATTTGTTGTTAAGACGTAAATATTAACACGTATTATTTATTAAAAAAATGCGTTTGAAACGTAAAATTGAATTTGAAAAATTAAAAATTAAATCATTGATCAACATATCACAAATCATAACTTCATGCTGTTTTCCCACAGAAGATAGTAAATGTGAAAGAGTAAATGGTTTATTTACAGATCACGGAACAAGGTTTAGGCCCTCATCAAAGAGTGTCAGATTTAGTTACGAGTGATTTGGCTAAGGGCCGTTACTTTGGATTCCAGCCATACGTCAAGTACAGGGAGTTGTGCTTTGGAACGGCAATTCAGAGTTTCGAGGACCTCCGTGGAATCGTAGATGAAGAAGTAATATATTTTCTGTGTATTTAACTAGTTTGGTCGATTTGGCTTGATTTACGCTGGCTGTTTTGGGGTGAAAATATCCAATTATTTATTCCAATAACCCCTTTACGTTACCAATAACCTCGGAGAGAGACCCTGGTGATAATATTTGGCCCGATATACGGCATATGTGTTTGTGTCGTGACGGATTTCACCGCCCTATTCATCCCGTGGGTGTCGCAAGAACCGACTAAGGGAGCCAATTCTGCGATACAACATCACTGCAAAGAGAAAGAAAACTTGACACAAACTCTATACCAACCCGTCTGGCCTGGTGTAGTAGGCCAAAACCTTCTTTCTATGGCCACTGCCTATGTCTAGCAGTAGACTATTAAGGGCTTTTGATTACTGCAACCTCCTGACAGTCCATCAGTACGTTGGTTACAGATGGCTATCCATAGGACCTATAGCAGAAAGGTATTAATTAAACTCAAAACAATAATTGAAATCGTCCCTTTTGTAGACTCTAGTCATAGATTAACACACACAATAGCAACAATCTCTGTTTTGTCAAATATTTAGCAATCTAAATAAATACGTATCGAAAAAATCTTATATGCCCATGTGCCCATACAACAACCCATTTACGACACACGCTTGACCAGATAGAATAGTTACTTCGTCAGATTTTTGTTCTTGTTAACAACCGCTTTCAACTGCCCCCAGACGTCATAGCTCGCCGATAGCAAAGGAGGGTTTTTAGTTCAAATGTATTTTTAACCGACTTTAAAAGGAGGAGGTTTTCAATTCAGATGTTTATATTTTTTTATGTATGTCATAACTCCGTCATATATAGACGAATTTTCAAAATTATTTAATTTTTCGAAAGGGGTTAATCCGAAATTGTCTCTTTCAAATTTACTATAGATCTTATGATGAGTTTCGGAGACAGAAAACGGAACTCTTCAAAATATGACACCGAATCGGTTAGTGTTCTATGTCAGTATTGTTTGAAGTCGGTACAAGGATTTATTTGTGTGTGTTGTAGCCACTTGTAAAATAAAGTTCAATTAAAAGTATTAACTTAAATGTATTTAAGTCGATTTAAACTCCTTTAAGTTTGGATTTCAGTTACTGAAAAATTATAACTGTTTTTACTTTTATCTAAAGCCGATTAACTTATCTCGTTGTTAAGAAACAATATTATCGTCAGTAGTATTTATGAAAAAAAAAACATTATTAATGTCGTTGTCTTTGTTTTTCCAGAGAATAGAGATTCTAAGAGAATTGTACGAGAAAGTTGATGACATCGATTTGCTGGCCGGTGTTTGGGTGGAGAGCCCAATACGCGGCGGTTTTGTCCCACCGACCCTATACTGTCTTGAAATAGAACAATTAAAACATAATATATATTCTGACAGACACTGGTATGAGAGACCCAACCGACCAAATGCATTTACTCCACGTAAGTATTTAACTTCTCGCTACAGTGAACTCAACAAATTTAGTGAAGCATTGCAACATTAGTGTTACAAATATGATAAAACTATGTACAAATATTAAAACCTACTACTTAAGAATTTATTACAATAAAATAGAACAAACTTTATTATACACCGGTTTAGTACATTGTACATCAAATTAATGACCATATACAAATGACGGGATTGTCGCTAAAATCAATTTCTTACAGGCAACCTTTGGATGGAAAAATAGACGGTAGTTAGACGAATTTATGTGTAGATTTAGTGTGAAAAAATGTAAAAGAATCATAAAATGTTTATACTTATATATTTGATATATATTCAATTATTCCAAAACAATTTAATGTAGTAAAAATCTGTCAACATCCGGATACTAAGCAATCAGGGAGTTAGCAGTGTAACTGCCTGACTAGTGGGGGCATTTTGTACCGTACAGGATCGTACTTGCTTCGGGTTACTGGTTTGGTAATAGACAACGAGAGAGAGGGAATACCCAAAATAGACAACGAGATAATGCAACCGTACTATCATATTTTATATTTGGTAATAAATACTATTGTACCATTGAAGCGCACTTACGTCGCAATGCAAGTGTGTTCAGAACTTTCCCGAGAGCAAAAAGTGATGTAAATAAACTATATAGCTTTTTATGTTAAAACCGTTCGAATTTGTTCATTAACGTTATACATGGTTGTTCTTAATACAGCTCAGTTGGCGGAAATAAGAAAAATGACGATAGCAAGAATTTTGTGTGATGTTGGAGACACCGTGGAAAGAATTCAACCGTATGCTTTCTTGAAAGCTGGAAAAGGGTGAGACTTGACTGTATTTATGGCCATATCCACAAATACACATGAATAAAGTTCCATTCGGAAAACGCAGCCTCCACAAGGTTGTCCGAGGAGCTGGTGAAGGTCGCGGGAAGTCGTTGGATGCGGCAGCACAGGACCGGTTGCTGTGGCGAACCTTGAGGAGGCCTATGTCCAGCAGTGGACGTCTTTTGGCTGAGATAATGATGAAAATTCCAATAAAATGTGTACATCCAATATGCTTATTAGTATTGATGGTAAATTCCCAATTCCAAATACACACATCACATCAACATCCTATGACAGTCCACTGCTGGACATAGTACTCTCCTTAGAAAAGAGGTTTTGGCCTACTACACCACGCTGGCCAGACGGGTTGATATAGGGTTTGATTCAAGTTTTCCTTCTCATTGCAGTGCTGTTGTCCTGGATATCTACATTGGATTTAATTATAAATATATATCCAAATAAACATGTAACATGTTTCATAATCAAACTTGTAACTACTTATAAAACGGTATGCACAGATAACGTTTAAAAACGACATTGACCAATGTAAACAGCTCATTTCATACGTAACTCATCACAATAAGAAAGCTCTTTCAAGCACAATAAGAAAGTTAAACTTTATAAGTATTAAATAGTGACATTTCGCTATAAATACTCTTCAGAATATCGTTTTTTTTTCAGCAATCAGATGCTCAGTTGCGAATATATAAATGGGATGAATATTTATGCATGGAGGGACGAGAACTGTATAAATCGTGATCATGGCTTCGAACAATAGTCATGACTCTTCAACAATTGTTCATTCATCACAATTTTTTTATAAACTGATAAAAATAACTAAATATATTATGTAATAAATAATTTCCTAATTAGGTTGTGGTTTCTTTTTTATGGCATAGGATACAAACGAGCAAACAGATCAACTGATAGTACCTAACTGAATAACGCCGCCCATAGTGTCCTGTTGACATGGAAGTTATTGCTATTTTGAAATCATATTCATTTGATAAAATGATTGGATTTAGTCACAGCGATTTCACTTGTGATTTCGTCATAGACAAAGATAAATGGCATTAAAATCAATGATAATCCTTTATTCGATTCAAATCCTAAATTCCTTCCTTATTCTTACGACCTTTTTTTTAGATTTGGAGTTTCGCAAGTGTTTTGCTAGCGTATTTATAATAATTAAGTAGCAGCATGTCATTGTGATTTTATTTCATCCCTAGTCTCCTGCAACTTAAGTGCCCCCTCCCCCCCCCCCCCCCCCAGGATTACCGGAAGGAAGGGAAAATAGTACTTCATTCAAGCCAGCCCATATGTGGGAAGCATGGCTCGGCACGTGTCTATTTACTTTCTGCCTAGTTTTTTTTATTAATCTGGAAATATCTTACAGTGTGTATCTAAGTGCTATTTTCTATAAAACCTTGAATATAATCGTGTCTTTTAAAATTCCAACTTTATACACCCATTTAAATATTAATTCAGAGTTTGAAGACCTATACCTATATTTGGTTACTCATTATATTTTATTAATTTGTTGTTAAACCAGTTTATTACATCTGCATTTATAGATGAAAAAACTTGTAATCAACTGATTAACAAACCATCAAAGCTAACAATGATGAAAAATAAATAATCACATACCTACATAGAAATGTTTTATGTTTGTGACAGGAAATTATTCGTTTTTTTAATACAACTGTGTTATTAGGAATCTGTTCTGAGAATTCTTTTATGAATATTCGTCAGCATGCCGCAAATAAACTTTATGTATGTACTTTGATAGATATACGGTTGGTTTTAGTTTCCCGATTATTTTATAAATTAGGTGCTTTTGAACGCGGTTACGCTCGCTACAACGTCGGTATCATCAAATATTAGCTCTTTGTGTCATTTTATAGCGATATTAGTTACCTTAGTTAGTTATATTGCTAAATTAATTAACTGATAAATTGATATATTTTTAAATATCTACTAGTTTTCTGCAGATAACAAAACAAAATTTAGGCATTTATCAGAAGATATCGGACTTAATGACAAATGATTTAAACAAAAATCATCGTTTTGGTTTCCAACTTCAAGTCCAATTCAGGTTAGCTTTGGAAACTCGACTCTATGAATTGATATAATCCTTAATTAAGCGTTTTTTTACGATCGCGATTATATTTTATCTAAAACAAAATTAAGTCTTTCTCTTCCTCTGAGCCTTATTCCCAAATTTGACCGCACGGATGGCGTAGTGGTTTAAGCGGTCGGCACGACGCTTCCTACTGCGCCGAGTGTTGTGGGTTCAAACCCCCTTATGGGACACTGATCCACAAATTGTTGTTCTGAGTCTGGGTGTTATTTGTATCCGTTTGATGAATGTTTGTAAAGTCCAATGCGACACAGGATATATTCCTAAAAAAAAATAAAAAATTAGGTTGGGGTCGGCGTTAAGTCATCTTCCATCAGACTCCACTACCTCAGTAGGTAACAAGCGATATCGAAATTGTGCAGAAAGACTGTTGTGAGACTCTTTAGAGCTCCATCTACCGGTAACGATTGCCACAAATTTTGTATGGCAACTGGGACTGATGGCTTAACGTGTTCTCCGAATATTACAGAAAAGAGCAGTAAAATTTGTAGTGTGTACTTAATACAGTACAGTTTCTCTACAAGATGTTATAAATGTAGTACAGAAATCATATTCAATACCCGCACTATCACAATAACCGCACTCCATTTCTTACTGATATGTTCTCCATTAATGTTGACAGGTCCAATCTTTAAACGATAAAGCATAGCATTGCAAAGTTCAGACATATCATACTTCTTGAACACTAAGTGTTCATTGGCCGCCTTTCACGACAATCTAAAACAATAATTTAGTGTACACAAACCATATTTGACTATGTTTTAGATCAGTTGCGACATAGTCTGACAAGTGTTTCCTAACCTCAACTGAGAAAGAATTTCGAGTGGGATTAAGTGGAGGCGATTTGTTGCTACTAAGAATACAAATTTCCTCAAGCGTGCTTCAGTCAAGTGGACTTTTCAACGAAATGTCTTAGAATTTATAGAATTTTGTATGTAATAGTCGAAACTGACATTAGCAAGGTCTTGTTTGCTTTTCTGTTTAGAATAAGATTGATAACATATCTCTTTTTTAAGCTCGGTATGTTTGTATCACTTTTCACGTAAACAGCGTGACTTTCTCTTTTATTGAGAAATTAAAAAGCAAAATAATTCGTTAACACTCCATCGAGAAGGTCATGCATGCATATTTGCTTAAACAGTGTAGTATCAAGTTTATATTTTACATGAAACACCTTTACTACCTGATATTTAGTATCCACATTTATATTATCATCATCATCAGCCTATCGCAGTCCACAGCTGGACATAGGCCTCTCCCATCCCACGCCACTTAGATCGATTTTGGGCTTCTCGCATCCAGCTCCTGCCAGCCATCTTGCGCAAATCGTCAGTCCACCTGGCCTGTGGGCGTCCCACACTACGATTGCCGAGACGCGGTCTCCACTCAAGAACTCGTTAACAACGGTTATAAATGTGAAAAAGATTTTCATAATTCTTTCACCAAAGGAAAGCGACATTATCAGCGAGTAACAACAAACAAATAAACAACATTTTTAGGTTCAACTAAATCAAAAGTACCAATAAAGCTTACCTTTTTTGGTTAAACAAATATTATGCAAATAATTATAGAAAAGATAAATCCGTAGCAATAACCATAAAAATAACAGAATACCACGATCTTTTTAGTAGGCTCCCTTGGTTTTCTCTTCTTTCACTTGGTCGCTCATGAAAGAGATGCCATAAAAATACTCGTAAAAATTCTATCCGTGCTCACAATAAACGAACCTAAAAGGTAATAACAAAAATGCGGTCTTATATGTCTATAATAATAGGTGTGTCAGAGACACGTAGACAAAGGATTAGACTCGCCTTATATGATCCAGGATCGTGAGTGATGAAAGTCTGAATAGAGATTAAAACGTAGTCCAGTACTCCTGTACAGTAGTGTGTTAGTGTACGTTGAATCACAAGACTAATAAACTAAACTACAATATGTCTAACACATTTGATAATTCACTAAGTAGACTAAACTTAGTACCTTAGTCCCTAAACTAGCAAAAGTAAGTCTATTCCACTTAGATTTCTACAAGCAGTACTGGTTTCGTCATCGTTAATGTTAACGTCATAAAATTTTCGTGTCCCA